GGGGGGGGGGGCCTGCCACTGATGTGAAAAAGAGTTGTTCTAGATTGATTGCCCATGGGGTATACCACAAGCATAGTCTTGCTAGTTGCCACTTGGTGCATCTGTGGAAGCCTTGAGAAAATAAGCTGTAACCAAGAGCTGTTGGAATTGGTAGTGGCAAAAGCAAAAGGGCATCACTTTCAAGATTTGTAAATGATTTTTTTTTATTTTTTCTTTTACTGTTTGATTGAAATTTCTTTTGACAAAAACAACAAGATTTGCTGTTGTTTATGAGAAACTCAGCTCGAAGATTTGATGTTACTGGACTCGAATCACATATTGATTCCAAATATTTTTTAAAGATAAAAAAACCTTATTTTAATTAAAAAAAATTTAAAAATAAACTTCTAATCAAGTTTTATTTTAAATCAGCTCAAGTTTTTATCAAGTAAGTAAAGATTATATTATTATTATTATTATTTTTTAACTCGGATGGGATTAGAACAACCCAATGTTATACTTTTGTTACAAAGAATTTCATGAGCTTGCAACAAGCTGTAATAATGTTAAGATCATAAAGATGAATAGATAGACAAATAATTTGAAGCATAAACATTGTTGCCAGGTCATAAATATTTATGGGATAGTGTCGAGGTGCTTGCGTGGATCCACCCTTAGAATTAGGAAGAGGAAGACAACACACAACACTCCTTGGAAGGAACGTTTGTCTGTTCAGAAATCTAAAAAAAGAAAAACAAAATCTTAATCAGATGAGCATTGGACAGCACGATATCATAGAAAATTATCAAGTACACGAACTGAGGCAAACGTGAAAAACAAGAGGTCATCAGCACTTGCGGGCATCTGACCGCACAGCGAAAAGGATGATTCTTCACCTATTTTATTTGGTCCCTCTACTTGTATCATTTTTTAATATTCGTCCCTTTTGTTTTTTAATTCATCACTGTATAGCATGATCAATGACAAACATCTCTCCATCCACTCTTATTCATTGTTATAAAACTCGATCTAAAAGACCTGAATTAGATATCGAGAGAGAGTTGAATCAAAAATATTTTTTTAAAAAATAAATTAAAACTACATTATTTAGATCAATTTTTTTCATAAAAATAATTAACTAGTTAATAACTATATTTTAATCGGGTTATGTTTTGATAGATTAAGTTATTAGGTCAACTTGATTTTTTAATCAAGTTAGCCAATTTTTCTTTTAATTTTTCTTTAATCTAGACTAATTAAGACCCAAGTTGACTAATCTCAATTAAATTTGGTTAACAAATATCTTTTGGGATTTTTTAAGAAATGTAGTTAATGTTAATTATTATTAATTAAATAAAATAGACATGAATTTTAAGTTTATTTTTTTTTTGAAAAAAGAGATATTGAGTCAAAGATCCAATGATAGATAATTCATAAGTAGATAATGTTAAGCATGTAGAAATTTTAAAATTCAAATTATTTATTTATTATAACATCTAGCAATCATTAATTAACAGTTAAATATGTATCTAGACTCTAGACCACCCTCATTTCATTTAGTTTTTTTTTATAATATAATTTAAATTTTAATAACAATACTTAATTTATTAAGCAAGAACAGATAATACTTATGAAAAAAAATATCAACAAATATGAGTTTGTATTCATTGAATTTTCTCACAATTGATTCTCTTTTATGGAATGAAAATGTGTTTTTTTTATAATAAAATAAAAAGAAATTAATTTTCCTTTATTTTGTTTCTTAGCCTTATAGATAACCAAGTTGGTAAAAAAAAAGGAACAAAACAACTATATTTTATATTGATAATTAAATATGTAGTTGTAAAATCCTAATAAGATATCAACTCGGAATAAGATTAGATCACAAGTTAGAAGAATTAATTTTTATTTTTTAAATAAATTAAAATTGATAAAAAATTCAAAAAACAAAATAATGAGTCGTGAGTCTTTATAAACTGGTCAACGTAATTTTTTTTTTTTTTAATTTTATTGTTGTTCAACTTGGACTAGATTAGATTTCAAATTAACTTACAGGCTGGTTTAGGTTTTGCAACTGTGATTGATTGATAATGGAATGAAAGAATGAACATAAGAAAAGTAACTATATTAAAAAATATAAAAAATAGAAGGACTAAAATTGAAACCTCACAGCAAACCAGCAAGGAAACAGTATTACGGTATTACCTAAAAGAAACAGTGTATGTAGTGTGTCATATCCATTTTATGCCTTCCTCTATCCTACATACAGGAGGGCGGTGTGGTGTTGGTAGATAAAATACATAACTAAATTCGTTCTCAACCAGTGGTTTCTCTCTTTTCCTTTCAAAGGGTGGCCTTATGAGTGCCTTCCATGCTTCCTTTCCTTTTATAAACTTCAATAATAAGAGGTGCTTTCTCCTCCAACGAACAATGTCTTGGCTTTCCGAAGTTTCTCTCAAAGAACATGGTGACATGAACCCAACACACCTCTTCTCTTATCCACACGCATAATCTTTTATTATCACCCCACCACTCATGCCTCCATCATCTTCACAAACAAACACGAACACGAACAGTCTTTTATTCCTCTTCTTGCCAAATTCATGTGATATTTCTTTCTGGGGCTTGATATTTCTCCGTCTCTCTAGAAACCCTTTGTTGTCTGTCTCTTGAATTATCAATTTCCTTGATTATTTGATTCAAAGGCTGAAACTTTTGGTACCAAAAAAAAAAAGAGATTGCAAATTTAGAGGTTTTATTGGCAGCCCATTTAGGTTTTGTAAGTTTATGTGATGTTATGGCCTTGATTGAGGCCTTACATGAGGTTTTAGAGAATCCCTCCTCAGTGTTACGGGTATGTACAGAAATGGTGGGACTTTTAGGTCCATTGTGGGTAGCTTTTTTTATTGGTTTAGTGCTTGGATGGTCATGGAAGCCAAAATGGGTGACCAGGGAAAGTGACAAATTGACTTGCTGTGTATCAAAGATATTGGATTCATCGTTGCCATCTTCACCTTGTCGGTCTTTGATGTCTCCATTGAAGACTTTTGGTTCTTTTTCACAGTGGAATTCATTCATGTTGAGGTCCTCAACCTGTGATGGTTCTTGGCTTGTGGATAACAACAACAATTTAGTGCATCAGAATCTGTCTCCTGTGCCACCTACAGAATATGAAGATTGCAGGTACCTTCCCTTATCAAAGTCTCGTAGTTTTCATTACCAATAAAATATTAAGCAATCTTTGAATGAATTTAGAAGTTTGTTAGTGGTCTTTGTTTTGTCGTTTGCTAAATAAGGGATAAAGCTTTCAATCATTTTTTGGAATTGAAATTCGTAATCAATTTGATTAATTGATTCTAAAGCATTAGACATTCACAACATATTGTCACATCTGTTCTAAACGTAGGGTTATTTTTACCGTCATGGCAACTTAGTGAGAACTTTGAATCTCTGCAGATACTAAAATTGGATGAGGCAGGAAACAAGAAAAAACACATAGGATTCAATTTGATAATACGTTGCAGTTTCGTAATGATCTCATGCTTTATGATTCGTTTATAATTATCAGTTGTTGAGGTTGACACACAATGGAAACTTTGTCTCTATAGGATGGACAAAAAATGGTTTTGGATAATTGGTAAAGGAAAAATTACATGAGCCTAATTTGAGGCGAGTAAATAATTTCTTCTTAATACTTGTCTAGCAGATCGCGGCTGAATGAAGAGCAGTCTAATGTTGCTAGCCAAGTCACGGAGGGGGATTTAGAACACTTATACCAGCTTGTTGAGGTGAAAGATGGAGGTCCTACTTGGATGCATATGATGGATCGTTCCACCCCAACTATGACTTATAAGGCATGGAGGAGAGATCCCAAGGTAGACTTTTTTCTCTTATTCAAACAGTAATTTAATCTAACTGCTGTATCAGCTCTCGAGGTTCAGTTTGGTTGGAATTTCTGCAACTTTCTTCCATACAATCAGATATATTTCGAATATATGTCATCTTGTTGATCAGTTCTTGTTTTCATGGGCTGTTAGACTGGTCCTCCCCAATATCGTAGCAGCACTGTCTTTGAGAATGCCTCGCCAGAGATAGTGAGAGACTTCTTTTGGGATGATGATTTCCGGCCAAAGTGGGATGACATGCTTTCTTATTCTGCAATATTAGATGAATGTCCCACTACTGGGACTATGCTAGTGCATTGGATGCGAAAAGTGAGTCTTCCTTTCATATGTTCTCATTCATAGCTTCTCATGGATTTATGTGCTCATCCCTTCCCAATGGCTTGTGTTGGCAGTTCCCTTTTTTCTGTAGTGACAGAGAATACATAATTGGTCGGCGAATATGGGAATCAGGCAGATCTTATTACTGTGTGACCAAGGTATGAAACAGGAGTATGTTATTCTATGTACAACAATAATAGCATCAAGTAGGATCTATTTAGTGACGATCTCAGTTTTTGTGGGGCCAAACATGGAAGATGAGTTCAGCTATATGTAATGTAACAATGGTCTAATCAAGCCAATCAGCTAGGGCTGCCAATGCTAACTAAGTATGCCTGATCTTCTTAACCCTCCATTTTGAATCTCCCCGGCCATTGGGTACAATTAAATAATTGATCGCAGTGTAAGCAGAGATGTGCTTCCCTTAGTGCATAATTCTTATCTTGGTGTCACATGTAAAGAGAAAGTAAAAGAAAGGATTGATGAGATATATTTGTGGAGGAAGCATTTGAAGCATTAAATAACCCTGTTTATGAATAACCCCGTTTATGAAATACTAGTGTCCTAGGTGATGATATAGAGATTTGACCATATAAAATACTCGATTCTAGACCCTTGTGAGCTGATTGGGGGAAATTGACAAATTATTTACTTGTGTATGTTTGGGGGATTAAATTTAATGAAGATTGTACCAGCAAGGAGTGAGCATCTAAGAGAATGTTTGGTTTGTAATGATACATAAAATGGTAGGGATGGAAAAGACTTGTTCCTTTTGGTTATGAGGGAGTTCCCCTCGGTCTAAGTTCAGTACTCAGCATTCTTCGAGAGCTACATTTTTGTATTGCTCCCAGTCATAATCCTTTCCTAACACAGGGAGAGACTTAACATTGTACTGAAAGGTCTTGTGGAAAAAGACCTTTGGTAACAAAAAGGAGCATCCGGCAATCTCATCTATTGGCTATTTTATTATTTTTGCTTGTTCTCTTTTGTAATCATCAGTTAGATTTTGGACGTCCAGTATTATTGACTACTTTTCCAAACAAATCTCAGGGAGTACCCAGTTCTTCTGTCCCAAGGCGAGATAAACCAAGACGTGTTGACCTATACTACTCAAGTTGGTGCATTCGAGCAGGTAGGCTGTAGCTTCTTTCTTTCTGCCATCAAATTGAACAGTCCCTTTATATTTCAGCTTGAAACAGCTCTTCAGGTTCAAGTTACCAGAACATTGGGCAATTGCTTTGTCCCCTGAAGATCTAGTCTGTAAATTAGAGAGTGAACCTACAATAGCTTAAGTGTTTGTGCTATTATTTGCTACGAGACTCAGAATAGAGTGACAACTAATATCTTTTAAATTACACTTGGCAGTGGAATCAAGGAAAGGTGATGGCCAGCTGACAGCTTGTGAGGTATTACTCTTCCATCATGAAGACATGGGCATCCCATGGGAAATCGCTAAGCTTGGAGTGCGGCATGGCATGTGGGGAACTGTCAAGAAGGTTGAGCCTGGTTTACATGCCTACCAAAGAACAAGAGCATCGGGAGTAACACTTTCTCGGCCTGCTTTCATGGCTCAGATTAACACCAAAATAAATCCAGAGTTGCTGAGATCCTTGGGAGATGATGAGGGTTTGTCAGAGACTGAAGCAGCAACTGCTCCTGAGAAATCTTTGGGCAGGAACATACCAAAGCTTTTGATTGTTGGTGGAGCTATTGCACTCGCATGCGGTTTTGATAAAGGACTCTTGACCAAGGCATTTATATTCAGTGTGGGAAGAAGGTTTGGAAACATGGGAAAGAATGCAAAATTGAATGCTGGAAGTACTTGAAAGTTGAAAGCCATTATTTTTCACAATCCAATTTGAGAGATGCTCTATTTTTAACCTCGTTTCACTCTTCCCTTTCCAATGGTCGTGGGAGGTTATAACTTTGTATGATACTTCAGAAACATAATTATGTTATGAGGATGTATATACTCAAGGCAGATATTTTCTCTGCAAGCAATGAAACGACAGAGTTCATAGTCTGTATGTTTTCTGTTCTACAAGATGTTGTAATTGTTTACTTTTATCAGTCTCGCCGTATCCCTCATTTTGCAGAAGTATTTGTTGGCATTAGTTCATCTGCTTTGTTGGCAGAGCTTCTCTCATATTATCAGTTAAAAACAACACAACAAAGCAGCAAATTAACCTCACAAAATGACAAGTTACATGGGAGATATCCCTCCTCTGATTCCCTCCAATTCAACCTCTTTCATTACGAACATGTTTGGCAACGAGGTTGCGTCTGTGTTTTATTTAAAACATAGAGGTAACCTGTTTAGTGAACAAAAAAACACATTTTACTATGTATGGATCCCATGTTTTTTCACGTCCGAGACGCAGAAAAAGAAGAAGCAGCATTTTGCTGCTTTGCGCACACTGTTCACGCTAATTTTAATTAGCGTGAACACTGTAGAACACACTGTTCGCTTGAAAAATAATGAACAGTGCAATTCTCTTGCACTGTTCACACATTTTTTAAAAAAAAAACTAGTTTAAAGTAAATTAAATTTATTTGCATTATGATGTGAATAATATTTTTTTTTCTTGAAAAACTAGTATATAGTGAATTAAATTCACTCGCACTATAATATCAATTTTATACCTGATAATATTTTATCTAATTTTATTACACGCTCAAAATATTATGAAAACTGTAGTTTTTATCGGATAAATTTTGTACATAATAGAATTATAAATAGTTTAATGGAATAATAAAAAATATTTTATATAAAGTATTATTTATTTTATGATGTAATAGGAGTAATTAATTCTACAATATTTAAATTTAAAACGATCAATATTAATATATATTTTTTAAAATTATTTTATAATCTTAATTTCAAAAGCATTTTTAATCAAACACATTAAACTACTTTTTCTTCAACCTCAATTTCAATCATAGTTTTAACCAAACACATATTTTTTCAAATCAACTTTAATTAAAAGTACTTTTTATAAAATAATTTTTTTCAAACCACAACCACAACAGCTACCACAATATCAAATACACTCTACATCATCAGAAAACGTTTAGACTTAAAAGGTAGCTCTTTAGCAAGTGCCATGAATGTCTAATCCATGTATGACTAGCTATAACAGTAGTGGTAAATAACTATTTGGAGAAAGTTGATTTCCATTGTTAATCATTAATAACTAACAGCCACCCCTGCAGGCAGCACTGGAGCTAATTAACCACAAAAACCAAGCAGAACGGTGACATATTAATGTTTCAAAACAGTTTAAACCATCCTGTTGAGGTGCTAATTTTGGCATCTCACTGGCCTTCTTCACCTCTTTCACTTTTGCCACCATGTTTTCAGCAGATGCTCCCATTCTGCTTCCCAAAATCCTGAACATAAAACAATTTAACGTAATTTAGCTTGCATTTTTTCACACAAAACAAGGACTAAAACTACATGATGAAGGAAAATAAGAGAAATGTATGAAGGGACTTGTGAATTACCTAAGCTTTGGAGTGGCTTTGGTCAAAGAAATAAATCCCTGCTGCAGCAACAACAGCTGGTACTGTCACAGAAACTGCACCCATTGCCATTTTTCCATGTTATTCTTGAATACAATGGCCTGCAATGATACAGCTTCTATATGGAGAAACACTGAGGGGTTAAGGTGTTAAATCACAAAGTGTTGATAGAATTTTCTGACAATCTTATTTATCAATGATGCGAGATATATATACAACGAGTATATTGCTAAAATTATGCTGTTGTTACAACAGATATGCTATACTAATGATAATTACAAAATTCTGTCCCTAATAATGGAAGATAATCACTCCACTATAGGAGATAATTAATCAATCCTCTTCGATGGGACGCATGGATATCACACATGCTTAGCTTGTTACGACAACTTGTAAATACTTCGATGAATATTGCTTTGGCAACATCTACAAGTTGAAATTCTAACTTTACAAAAGGAATCTATATAAGTTCACTGGAAAATTTTATCATGAAAACTTTACTCCAATGAATTTATATGGTTTAAGAATATAGTTAGAATATTATAAATTGTTAATGGATCATCTAAACTTCTAGAATATTGATTATCTTGCTATATTATATCATCGATTAGTTAATACAAGCTTGACTTCGAAACAAGACAGAGAATGAGTTTTTTACTTATTATATAATCATACATATAATTTTTTTTTTCAAAGATGATGAATCAATAATTAAAAAAATTTATTTGATAAAAAAACATAGTAAACAACTTAGATAATTGTTTATTGTATTTTCATTAAAGGTATAATATGTATTATAATGATAAAATTAACTTATTATATACTCCTATCTTGTGTACTTATTTTATTTTAATATAACAAAAGTCCATCTAGTTTTTAAATCCTGGATTCGTCGCTGCATCTAACGCCGGGACAAGATCAGACGTCAGGGTAATGCTTTCTCCTTCCTGTCGTATGATGTGAAGCTCGACATGCCTTGGACTCAAACTTTACTATGATTTCCTGACGAGAAAATCTATGAAGGTAGCCATATATAAAAGTTGTGGGTTCTTTCTGAAATTGTTTGATTTGTCTTCTGATGAAGAATTATTCTACTATTGGTCCAAAGAACCCTGTGACTCATGAAACGAAGGTCGTTCCTCTGCATCGGATTTGGATTTGATTAAAAAACCAATGATTACAAGATATTCATATTCTTCTAATCTTAGAAGATGAAGGAGAGCATCTCTGTCACCTAAGAATTTGAAATATATAGCCCGAGGAAGGATTCTTGGAAAGAACTTGATGACACATTAGCGGTGTCATCACATAAACCCTACTGCCGGCAAAAGTATTGGAGCATCATGTCATTGGTATAAAGATGGTTATTCAATTGTGACTAGAGCAGCGAAACATTCAAGACAACACCCCTGCCGCTCGATGATTGCATTATCGGCCTCCCCAACTACAGCAACCCTTTTGGTATTTGAACTGAAATTTTCGCGCTCAAGGAGTCAATTGCAGGGATGCGGGAAAATCTTTCTCTTACAAATACGAAACTGGTTTCATGTTTTGTCATGTGATTAATAAGCTTTCTAAATCAATCACATTGAATTGACAAACCCTACATATGGACTACAACAAGTCGTCTTAGGGGTATGCACACATCTTTACGATCGCAAAATCTTAACCACAAACCAAAATAACGAGAGCCTCACAAGTCACAACTCTTTCCTTTGTCAAAGGTTTCTCAGGATTTTGGAGAAGAAAATTGAGTACGAACATACACGATGATTGATTTTTTGCCTGAAGATTTGGTGATTTGTATCTTAACAAGGCTGCATGTCAGGTCTTCCATAAGGTTCAGGCGTGTGCAAATCTTGGTACACTCTCCTTTCTAACCCAAATTTTATTTACAGAAATCATCTTTTTAACTATGATGATGATTTGAAAATAAAAATCCATCGTCTCCTTATTAAACGCCGAGACAAAATCAGTAAGGATTTTCTCCTTCATCTCGTATGATCATCATAAACTTGATGTCTTTTGACTCAAACCTTACCGAGCCATTGTATTTTTAGATATATAGAAGTAGAAATTGTGGGTTCTTATTATGGTTTGATTTGTCTTCGTATTCTACACGGTTCGTGCAGCTGCTGCGGCCACACCTTCCTGGTGTCTGGTAATGAATTGTTTGCCGGCATTGGATTTGGTTTTACTTCAAAAACCAATAATGTCAAGATAATTAGAATTCTTCTAATCTGGGATTTTGCTGATTTATACTGGTGGACTCGTAAACATGAAGTAGAAATATGCTGCCTGGGGAAGGGCTCGTGGAAAAAACTTAATGTAATAGTGCCGGGCACAATCAAATCAGTACCTTAATATTTATTATCCTTCTAACAACTTTCCCCGCAAAAATGGATGTGTCACTGCTCTGTAAAGGGTAAAGATGGCTGTCCAGTTGTGTTGTCACTTGATTTCAGCAGTGAAACACTCAGAACACCATCTCTGCCAGATGAATGCGCTATCAGCCGCAACTACGATGATATTTATAAGAAATCTGTGCTGTTGAAAGAGTCAATTACCATGGTCCTTGTGTGGATTCCCAAGTTTCATTGGAGAGTGGAGATCAGAAACTCCAAGATCAGAGCAATTCATAATTGATATGTAATTGACAATTCCTATCCCTCCTCAATACTGTCTTCTATTTATTTACTAACGAATCTATTCAATCACTAAGAAACAGCTCTGAGTTTTATTAATGAATTTATTTCGATCATAAAATTGAATTAAAGATGCTCAATATATACAAAAATCAGTGAAGAATTGAAGGCTCAGTATGGAAGTATTGTCTCAAAACAGTGAACTCCATCCAACTCCAGAGCAAACCGTGGTCTCCTCTTCTGTTGCTGTAATGGCTTGTTAATGCTTGCAGGAGGTGATTTCGACGATGCTGATGACTTGTCCTTGTTCCCTGCAGACATCACGCTCTTCTTCGTAGACTCAACGGCTGGCCTGTTCCCTTCTTTGGGAGCGCTGAACGAGAAGTTGAGCTTCTGTCCAAATGATTCTGCACATAGGGCATCAAATGAACTGAACATAGACATCATCATGATTGAAACTCAGATCAAAGAAGTGGGCTCGGTTTATTTCTTCTTCTTTTGCTACAAAAACCAAGCAGCCAATCAAAGATTGTATTCTTAAGGCTCGACAGGGTTTGTTTTTTGAGATTTCAAGGAAAAGGGCTCTTCTTCTTCGAGGGTTTCTTGATTCGACTGGATTTGGATTGAGAGAGGGAGAGGAGAGATGATGGGTATATAAAGGGTGAAGGAAATCCTAAATTCCTAGAAACATCTGGAAAGAAGGTAGGTAGGAAGGAAGGAAGGTGGTGGAGGTCGACTTGGTCAAGTAATGATTTGCAATTTGGATAAAGATATTTCCACCGTCCATTGGTAGCTGGGCACCTACAAGATGACATGCGCGGAGGGCTGAGATTGAGGTCAACATTATTTATTTAATT